GCTGTGAAGTGCTTTGGGTCTACCCGACGTGAAAAGCGCTATTTATTATTCGGTACATGTGCTTTTGGGTTAAAGACAAGTTATTATTATACCCAAAACAGCCCCCTCTGCCATGTTCGCCTACAAAATAGTCACTACACTTTCCAATACTGCATAGTGATAAGGCGCTACATCAAATGCAAGGATTATGAATAATAAGATCAGTAAGTACAGAGTAGTTTAGTTTGGAGAATATCAAGCATGTGTTTTTGTGTGCCAGATACCCTTCTGACCAATAAAAGAAAGTACGATTAGCATGTTAATGTCAGCATTTTTTTTCATATCAAAAGTTCCTGTGAACATTGAAGATGAATAAATACAATGATATTTTTGCTCTGGGGGTCAGAGAGAAAATGTCTGGAGCAGGTGGTTGTATTTATATAGTGGAGATGTGGGGTTGGACAAATATCATTGCTTCAATCGGTATCTATACATTTCATTCCCCCCCCACCCACCCCCTAGAGTGAGTGCGAGTAGGGTGAAGTCCGTAATGGGAGCAGGTTTTGTGTGGTCTGAGGAAGGAGAGGGCTTGATGGGTTAAAGAGCTTTCTCCCGCTCCATGCTTACTTGTTATTTCCTCAGGACTGATCTGAGGGCAACAAGTATGCCACTTACCAAGAGGTGGCACGTTTAGCAGAGCTACACACTCTGACTTTCCATCTCTCCTGAAGAAGTAAGCACCTGACTTCAGAACACGAGACTAAGATATATTATGCAGTTTATTAGACAATAAAGGGAGCCCAAGGGCAAATTCTCTGCATGTTGTCAACGATATATTTCGGACCCCTTGTTTGACTATTTTAGCGTGTGTTAGCCTGGCTCAGTTGAAAGCACTCTCGCCTAGAAGGTTGTAGGTTTAAGCCCCACACTGGGACTTGAGGGGTGTTCCAGGCATGCCCTGCTTCAGATGAGACTTTAAACTGATGTCACATCTGCCTGTCCAGGTGGATGTTAAAGATCCCATGACACTATTTGAAAAGAAAAAGGAGTTTCACCCAATGTCCTGGTCAACATTCCCCCAAATAAAATTGGTCACTCACTCCGTGGCTGTTTATGTACATAAATTGGCTGCTCACCTACAAAAACAGTCACTATACTTCACATTAAATCCTGTGAAGCCCTATGAGATTTCCTCCTGATGCTGAAGGCACTATATCAAATGTAAGGGTTATTATTATTATTTTCTTACGCTCTGATGTGGGTGGAGCAAGACCATGGAGGGCTTTAAAAGTGAGGATGAGGATCTTAAACTCGATCTCTGGTGGATGGGAAGCCAGTGAAGCAGGGCGAGAATGGGGGTGATTGGCTCAGTGCGGGAGAGTACATGAGCTGCAAAGTTCTGAATAATCTGCGACCTGTAGAGGGAAGTTAGCAAGTTGTTGTACTGATTTCAATGCACCCAGAATTACCTACTGCTATTTCACGTCCCACTGTGCATGTTTCATCTCTACTTTAACCACAATCAGCTACCACTACACTAAATTGGTCACTCACTTTTTAGATGTACAGATTATTAGGGTCTGCAGCCTCTGAAAGTGTTACGGCCCTGTACGGTCTTACTTATAATGCTTCAAATTCCTGTGACTGCCAGTCCCATGAGGACCAAATTTTATTTGGTAGTGATTATAAACCCCGGAAAGCGATCCGCCAATCGACTAACAACTGGGTTCCTACTTACTGCAGAGTAAACAGAGGTGTGTGGTCCAAGGAAAATTGCCTAAGGTTTCACCCCACCTGGGAATCGAACCCGAGTTATTAACACAAAGAATAAAAACATTTTTCTCCCTGTCTGTACTCACAGTAGCTCTCTGTGCTAAATGAAGATAAAAGACTTGCCATAGAAGCAAATCTGCCTTCCTCCCCCTAACACACGTGCAGTTTGAGTTCAGCCCACACACATGGACCTTGTTATTTTCCACGTGTTGAAAAATCCTTCGAACCTTGTACGGAAAAATCAGCCTTCCTGTACATTGACGTGAAGGCGAAACAATTTTGAGCCAACGGTCCTCTTGATGAGGAATTCTAACCCTGTAAAGGTTAACTCGCAAGGCCACATTTGGTACAATGGGACTGATCTTTTGTCGAGGTTCAAAACTAAAGGTCAGTGGCCTCTTCACGGATTTTATTGGCTTTTGCAATTCTCAATTCGCCACGTTTACAAATCTTTGGAGACTCACAAACCAGACGTCACAATTAACCCAGAAGAATGTTTTGTGAACCTCACAAAATGGACACCCATTGTGTGCAGACCACCTTCAGGAAGATATTCAATGAGAGAACAGCAACAAGGGATTCAGAGCTCAAGTTCCAAACGTAAACTCAGAGCTGACTAATAATATTATAATAATCCTTGCATTTAATACAGCGTCTTATCACGTCCTTCAGACGTCACAAAGCGTTTCACAGAAACTGTAAAGTGTATACTGTAAAGTGAATTGACTATATATTTTGTGGGTGAAATGCGGCAGCCGTTTGCACACAGCAGTGTCCCACAAACAGTCGTGGATTGAAGTGACTAATTTTTTTAAAGGAATTATTACCCCCGAAAAATTGATCAGCCAATCGAATGACAACTAGATTCCTACTTACTGCTAGGTAAATATAGGCGTGTGGCGTAAGGAAAGTTGCCCTGCCCGAGAATCTAACCCAGGTCCTCTCGCTTGCGAGGCTCTTACCAATATGCTACGTGAGAAACCATGCTTAAGTTGAGATTTTGGAAGGCAGAATTCCTGTGATATAAAGCTTAGCAAATACGTGAATGGCCGACAAGGTACTTTCCTTTCTCATGTCCTCAGAGGCCAGGAACTCTTGGTGCAATGGAAGATGTTACCCTACCAACAAAATAACCTTTGATTTAGATAGAACGTGTTCTATCTTCTAGTGATGGGCACATGGTAATCCATTCAACTACTCCCATAGCGAAGCGGTTAGCACGCTCGTCTCGCAAGTGAGACCACCCGGGTTTGATTCCCTGACAGGGAGAAGCCTTACGCAAGTTTCCTTATTCCACACCTCAGTTTACCTAGCAGTAAGTAGAAACCCCTGTTGTTATCGATTGGAGGATCGCTTTCTGGGAGATAATAATCCCTCCCAAAACAAATTTGGTCACCTAATCTGCAACCTGCTTGTGACAATGCTGTGCACAATTGGCTGCGGCGTTTCGCCCACAAAATATGCAGTCAAAGCGCTTCATCTTAGCCCCTCATCTCCCCCTTCAGCATCCCTGTCCTCATCCCCACTCCCCCCGGCCTGCTTTGAAATATCCTTCCCACGTGACAGGCACGCTAAGAACATAAGAATTTTCTGGGCGAAAGAAGACTATTTCATTTACTATTTATTTACTCTATCAATGTAAACTATATTGCATATTCATAGGAGACAAAAAGCCCAGTTTATCCGAAAAGTTTAAGTGCAAACATCAAATCAATGAGATTCACATTGCTGCTAACCTGCATTCATATGTGATAGTTGATAATTTACTGACTGAGATGAAACTCACTGTCCTCACTGTGCTGTAGGTGATCCACCTACAGCAATTAGAACTCACATTTGTCCAGGCTCAACAAACATCTGACAAGCTGGCGTGACTGTTGCTGATTAACTCACATATGTAGAAACTGGGGACAGCTGTTTTCTAATCCAAGAATCCAATTTCTTTTCAGACTGTATTGGAATAGACCACAACTCTTAACGGGAGTGTGGAAAAACAATGACTTCTGTTCTTTCCTTTGCTACTTCAGTTACACTTTTTATAACTGCAGCCTTTCTGGAATGTTAGCATTAGACTACATTTTCTCCCATGGCATCCATCCAAACTCTTAAAATTCTAGCTGTGCACCCTTAAACTCCAAGCTTGCTTCCACACCACTCAGTGTTTAGTTTCTAAATATTGGGGTAGGACAGGGCAGGGGACAGAAGATGGAAGTGGAACATATTTCCACCCAGTTAGACAATGCTTATGCTTTTTCAAGCCTATGTTTCCTGGAATGAGCCTTTACATGTCTAGACCAGCAGATGTTGCCTATCAGTCCATTCAACTGATATCAAAGTGCAGGAACCTATTGATGCAACTGCCCAAAACAGGCTTATTTTAGGAATCCTTAGTTTTGTGAAGGTGGTGGGGGGAGAGACCACATGTGGTGATGGAAGTACTTGAAGCAAGAGTAATGTTTTAATGGGCATTCTGAGTTGTAACACATCGTGACAAACTAAATTGCGTGTACTCGAAACATAGGGTTTGCATTTAACATTGATTAACGAGCAAACCACTAATAACACCCACTGTTTTACTTTCGAGTTAACACAATTTGATGGTTCGAGGCTGCCGGAAACTCTTGCTGTGACATTCCCGTCAACACACATCACTATGAGCAGAGTGCAGCAATGCAGCATCCTCCAAACCACTTATCTTGAAGGATGGCCCCTTGTAAAAGTTGACAAAACTAAAAGTCTGAAAGAATAACGATTTTTTCTTAGATTTGAAATGTGGTTGCTATACTCCAATGGACAAGCAGCGGGAAAGTTTGCCAGACAGCGATATCAATGGTAAAGTATGCGATTTTAGCCGGTTAGACTCCGGCCGTACCACAACACACATTCTGGGGTCCCAAGCCTTGGCTCTTGACAACCTGCGCCTAATGCTTTCCGGAATTAGGGAAGCAGGATGCGTCTTTCCAGGGAGAGAGTGCGCATTCCATTCCAACAATCTTTCTCTGGAATTTCTATGTGTAGGTGGATAGTTTGGTTCAGACACTTTTAAGCATAGTGACGGATTTCCGCATGTGTCAGACACACGGCTGACCCCCCCCCCCCCACCCCCCAAAAAAACTTTTAAATTTTTGTATTCCAACACAATCATTTGACGCGATCAAAATATAAATGTTAACAAGGGTGCTCACAAGTGTGATTTGGATGCAGAAGGCCCTGCGGTCCATCTGATCTCATCTTCCCAGAATACTCACCTGATCGTCCTCCCATCAATCCGTTTCTTCAATGAGTTCAGGGTCCTGACCTCGACTACCATTCCTGGAAACCTGTTCCAGAAACAAAAATGTGAAAATTGAATTAAAAAAAATAATTGCGCAAGGAATTTTGTTTTGGTCAGCTATGTGTCTGACACGTTCAGAAACCCATCACAATGCTTGAGTATTGAAACCAGGCACAATTCCACAGCTGCATGTAACCTACGCGTGAAAATGTCCCATTAGGGAATATGGGTCCCATTAAGGAATACTGTTGCGTAGTGATTAGAGCTCTTGCCTCACAAGCGAGAGGACCCGGGTTCGATTCCCCGACCGGGCAAATCCTTAGGCAAGTTTCCTTACTCCACACACCTCTGTCTACAGTAAGCAGGAACCTGGTTGTTAGTCCTTCAATTTTCCTTTTAAAACATTTGGCCACTCACTCCATGGCTGTTTGTGGAACGCTGCTGTGCGCAATTGGCTGTCGCGTTTCACCCACAAAATACAGTCAATCCGCTGTACAATATATTCTATGAAGCGCTTTGCGACGTCTCAATGACGTGATAAGGTGCTATATCAAAAGCAATTATTATTATTATTATACATTAAGACACAAGTTCCCAGAAACACATGCAAATAATCCTGCCTTTCCAGATAAAGTCCAGCAAAGAGTTCACTGCCACATCGCACTGTGACGCCATAAATAGCGCTGCTTCATCAATGGACACAATGTAAGATGGCCTTCACAGCCGTATTAAAATCAAGAACACTTTAAATTTACCAACCATCTGAGACATAAGAACATTTTTGGTCAGGAGTCATTCCATTCCATTAACTTATACTTACTTGAGTACAGCACCATCTGCTGGTTACTTTCTGTTTTGTCGTGCAGAATCATCTCACAATCATCTCAGATCAATTTATAATAATCCTTGCATTTGATATAGCGCCTTAGCACGTCATTGGGACATCTCAATGCGCTTCACACAATATACTGTGAAGTGGATTGACTTGTGTATTTTGCAGGTGAAAATCAATTGGCACAGCAGTGTCCCATAAAGAGATTGAGTGACCACATTTTGATTTATTTACAGTATTTGGAAGGGATTATTACCCACGGAAAGTGATTGACCCAGGTTCCTACTTACTGGTAGTTAAATAGAAGCATGTGGAGTACGGAAATTTACCTAAGGTTTCACCCCGCTCAGGAATCGAACCCAGGTCCTGTCACTTGCTACGCGACCCCACTTTGTTACAAAGCCTGAATAATTTTATTTGTCCAATCATTTATTTCCTTTGATAACAAAATACAAATTCCTAGCATTCACCGTTTTCCTTTTTCTCATTTACTCCACGTGGGATCTGAAGAAACAGCTTTGTTTTCTTTGCTTTCACACTTCCACAGATTGACGAAATACCTTGAGTTGATACATTGCCATTCATGTAAAAAGAAATGTCTCAAAGCACTTTACAAAATACATTATAACTGCTGAGAATTTAGGCGAATGTTATTATATCAGCAAACATGATCTTATATAAGCAAAACCACTTTTTCATCCATGAACTGTCTTTCTTCGAGGTACTGCTTTTCTTTCATCTGTCGATTTTTTTTTAGTTCCAGAAAATATTATATGTCATTGATTCTTCCTTTTGCTGAGATTGACTGCATCACAAAGTAAGTAATTTGATGATTTTATAAGGAAGTGTCTGGTTCAGTCTGTAGCATTCTGGATCAGAGGGTTGTGAATTCAAGCCCCACGTCAGGACTTTGAGCGCACAGTCCAGGCTGATACTCCAATACACTGCACTGTCAGAGGTGTTGTCCTTCAGTGCTCTCAGACATTCACCATTATGGACGCAGGGTGTTTTGCAATATCTGGTTGAAGTGGCCAATCTTCCAGCGTGAGACTTGAGAATGGAGCGACAGCAGAGAACTGGAACCCAGCGCACACGGTCTTCATCTCAAGCTATTTACAGGATTAGCTCGTAAACTATTATGATAAATAATCCTTGCATTTGATATTGCGCCTTATCACGCGTTGAGAGGTCTCAAAGCTATTCATACGAATATACTGTAAAGTAAATTGACTATATTTTGAGGGCGAAACGCAGCAGCCAATTGCGCACAGAAGTGTCCCACAAACAGTCATAGATTGAGTGACCACATTTTTTTTAAAAAGGATTATTACCCCTGGAAAGCGAGCTATCCGGGTTCCTACTTTCATAACATCTGGGTTCCTACTTTCTGCTAGGTAAATTGAAGCATGTGGAGTAATGAAACTTGCCTAAGATTTCACCCCACCCAGGAATCGAATCCAGGTCCTCTCGCTTGCGAGGCCAGCACACTAACCAATACGCTACATGACTCCTCAATCTTTTCTTTCTAGTGCAATGGAAGCACTAAAGAGATGTAACCTTTTTTTGTTCTGTGGATCTCACTCTATATTCACAGTCAAAGACTATTTTCTATTACAGTCCCTAAGACAGTCAAAGACTGCATTATGTGAGTAGTTTGCTTTCCAATCCCAGAGGAGAGCGGCCATGTATAATCTGGGGCAGCCCAACAATACTGCATTGACTTTATGTACTGTTATCTACATTCTTGCTCTCTCCCCCAAAGGCTATGGATACAGTTCAATAGAAATTTTCAAGACTGACATGAATAGATTTTTGTTAGGTCAGGGTGTCAAGGGACATGGAACAAAGGTGGGTAAATAGAGTTGAGGTACAGATCAGAATGGCGGAACAAGCTCAAGGGACTGAATGACCTCCTCCCATTCCTATCTTCCTATCACATCACCCATTTGACAAATAGCTGTCCGGAGGGCATTGTGTGACAAAAGGCAGACAAAACACCAGCTCACAGGGGAGAAGGGTTAACAGCAGTCATGCAGTCCCGTATCATAGTGGTTAGAGCACTTGCTTCACAAGCGAGAGGATCCTGGGTTCAATGCCCGGGCAGGGCGAAACCTTAGGCAAGTTTCCTTACTCCACACATCTCTGTTTACCTATTAGTAGGTAGGAACCCAGTTGTTAAACGATTGGCAGATCACTTTCCAGGGGTAATAATACTTTTTTAAAAAATTGGTCACTCAATCCACAACTGTTTTTGGGACACTGCTGTGCCTTGTTTCGCCTATGAAATATAACTTCAATCCACTTTACAGTATATTCTGTGAAGTGCTTTGAGATGTCTCAATGATGTGCTAAGGCGCTACATCAAATACAAGGTTTATTATTATTTTATGTTCAACATCCCGGTTTATGAATCCCAGAATCCAGATAGCCTACTGGACCTGCTGTCTCAAGTTACCTTTGTCTCATGTGAAAAACTGGTTTCCTGCGGTCAACACAGAAATCTATCACTTGTGCTTCATCTGTCAAGTCTGTGATACATTTAGAATTCCATTTTCTTTATTCATATGTTTTGCTCTCAAATTATTTTGTTTGTAACAGACTCCAGTAATTTTCATTAGCTGGCTTGAAGCTTTGCAGAATGTCTTGTTCTTTATGAAGGTCTCCAGTCTCTGAATGATCAATAATGCTTGTAGTTGGTATACACTTAACCCCCGGATTACCAGACTTCAAGTATCTGCAATTTGGACTTAACCGGACCAGGTTAATTTTTAAAAAAATTAGTACAGAACTATACAAACTTTTTTTTGTCTATTACATTTATTTAACATTCATTTTAAATGTTAGGGAGGATGTGTTTTTACTTAGTTTATTTGTTTTAAATTTCAGGTAGGATTTACAGGGTGACTATTTTTATTGTATTTATTTTAAATGCATTAACACTTAGCCAAAAAATACAACTAGCCACATCGGATCTCCCACCTATCAGTCCAGTTAGCCAGGGGTTGAGTGTACTTGCATTTGACCTAATCACATTGAAACAGTTTAAAGTGAATTAACTTGAAAATAGTGATGGTTATAATGTAGGCAAATGCTGCAGCTAAACTGAGCCAGCAATATCCTACAGTCAGACATGAGATGAATGGACAATTAATGGGTCCTTTGGCTAATTTAGACAAGGGAGGAGATTAATAATAATAATCCTTGCATTTGATTTAGCCCTTATTATATCATTGAAACATCTCAAAGAGCTTCACAAAACATACTGTAAAGTCGATTGAATGTGCATTTTGTGGGCCAAACGCGGCAGCCAATTGTGCATAGCAATGTCCCACAAACAAATAGTTGTGGTTTGAGTGACCAATTTTTTTTTGAGGGATTATTACCGCTGGAAATAACTAACAGCTGGGTTCCTACTTACTGCTAGGGAAATAGAAGACTGGGGAGTACAGAAACTTGCCTAAGGTTTCGCCCTGCCCAGGTATCGAATCAGGGTCCTCTCACTTGTGAGGCGAGTACTCTAACCACAAAGTTACCGTGGCCAGTGCCCTGGGAGGGCTCCTTACTTGCGTTTTCAAAATTCTTTACAATTCACAAGAAAAAGCAGACGGGATCTTAGTTGATCACATCATCTGAATGATGGCACCTTCAATGATGCAGCAGAGAATTCCCTCAGTCCTGCACTGGAATGTTAGTTAATCATATTACAGTAACAAACATTACAATATGAATATTAGTTTATATTTTCTGTATCTATTCGTTTAGAAGCATTCATGAAGATTTGTTAGTGAGGAATTATCTGCCAGCGTCTATTAAATTGGAGGTAATTTGAGACCAACAAACAACAACAACAAATTGTGAGAATATAGCGCCTTTCACATCAAGATGATGCCCAAGGCGCTGGACAGTCAAGGGTTTGCACCCGAGCTGGGGGTTGGAATCAAGGGTGGAAGTGGGAGGATGACCAAAGGAATGGTCAAAGAGGAAGGCCTTGAAGGAGGCAAGGAGGCATTTGAATGGAATTGCCCATGCTCTTTCTGATCCGTTGTCCCATTCTCTGAAATAATCTGATTTATTACTTTAAATGTGCTGCTGCCTTCCTCACACTGGAAAGTGTGTGTCTACACAGATGCCCTGTGACTGCATTAACAGACCCTGGAGTTTTTAAGGTTACCACCCAGTGGCACAATATTGGCCTGGTTCCCATAGGAAAACTGTACAGTAGTAGGAAATGATTTCAACATTGCAAACAATGAACCCAAAGAGAAGAACTTGGCATAGGTCATATTGCTTTGTCGCAGGCTTTTACCAACCAATTTTATAACAAATTTGCCATATGTATTTCAATTCCCTGGAAATTATCAGACTGGCTCAGATGTTAGCACTCTCGCCTCTGGGTCAGAAGGTTGTGGCTTTAAGAACCATGCCAGATCTTTGAACTCACAGTTTATTCTGACACTTCGATGTCATACTCGGACTGTGCTGAATTAGTTAATGTGTGTGAGCCTGGTGCAGTGGTAGCACTCTCCCCTCTGAGTCAGATGGTTGTGGGTTCAAGCCCACGTCGGGATTTGAAATCGTATAGTCTAAGCTGACACTCCAATGCAGCACTGGGGGATTTGCATTATTGGAGTTGCTGTGCTTCGGATGAGACATTAAACTGAGGTCCCATCTGTCCGTTCAGATGGACATTAAAGATCCCATGGCACTATTCGAAAATAGAAGGGAGTTTCTCTCTCCCAAATGTCCTGGCCAACAATCCCCCAAATACAATTGGTGATAATTTAAGACTCTAGATTTAAATGGAAAGAATAATTGATTATTGTAACTATTTTTTTTAAAAAAAGCCAAAAGAAGGAAGGAGCAATTGAACCCTCCAGTGAATTAGTATTCTGCCTTCCACCTCTAGGATATATAATAATTTGAATCCAAGACAGACTGATGGAATAAAAGTCTTCTGCGTGCGATGGCTTAAGGATGACTTAATTTACTTAATAATAATTTTGTCACTCAATCCATTGCTGTATGCAATTGGCTGCCACATTTCGCCCACAAAATATAGTCAATTCACTTTACCATATATTCTGTGAAGCACTTTGAGACATAGCTCAGGATTATTATTATTATTATTTGAAGCAGGTTTGTGTAGTCGTGGGGCCTACACCACAATACTGCACAGACTTGTGGTCCCTCACAGAGAGATCACACGATGACTAATGTAGGAATTATTACAATGTACAGTATGGGAGGTGGGTGCAGTAAGAGTGCTCTTCTGATTTTGGAGTTAAGGCACATTATTAGGACAGATAGGAGGAAACTATATCAAAGGCAGGATTATTATTATTATAATCTTGAGTAGTAAAATTACATTTAAAGTAAATTGCTGTCATCTGCCAGTACTCAAAAGGATAAATAAGAAAAAAAATCCACAAAGAGACAGCCAGACACTCTGAATGACGCAGAACAGAATTACGACACTTTTTATGATAGATATGTTTTTAAAAAAGAATCTCGTCAGCTCCTGGCAAACCAACCAGAAATTACTCCAATACTTCATGCTAATAATTCATTTTCGCCCACAAAGTATACAGTCAATTTCACTTTACAGTACGT